TGGAGAGCCATTGAGCCAAGTGTATTGAAGTTAATGGAGACTATATTGAAGAATAAAATCATTTTTAGAATTAGGTATTCTTTATTTCAGTTTCGCTCCGCGAACTTTTCACGCAATCTGTAATCTTCGATTATATTGTCGTCGGCTCTTAATCAATATCTTGGATGGAATTTTAGAAATAATCGATAGAAGATACTTATAAATAAATGCATATATCAATATCTTTTTATTTGATCGATACAATTAGTTAATTTAAAAATTGACACAGCTTTTAATTAAAAAAATTAATGCTATAAAGTTTGAGACAGAAATTTATATATATATATATATGTATAAATATATCTATATATCTATGTATATGTATATACGGTGCCTACCAAAAGTTCCGGGCCATCTAAATAATTTTTGAATGGTTTGAAATGTAGGATTCAAATTTATAGGGATACAATGGGATCACAAAGTTTATTATTTAACCACAAACACACCCACCTTCACACCCCCGGGGGACGGGCGGAGGGGGAGCCAAAAATCTTAAATGGCATGTGGGGTTGAGTGAGGGCTCGTTCGAAAGGGCTTTCCGAGACGAAAATAACGCGAGCTCGCCGAGGTCTCTACGACTTTTCTCGCAGAGGTATGATTATTTGAACATTTCTATTGAGATTTTGCGATAGCGAGGGCCCATGGCAACAACAGAAAAAAGATAAAACTTCACGCATGCACGCACGTTCCTGTGTGTGTGTGTGTGCGTGCGTGAGTGTGGGTATGTGTGTATGTGTGTCAACAAAGATAAGGACCCCACGATTTGTCAGTCTCGTAGTATTTAACGACTCTAAACTCTCTTTGTTGCGTGCATGTGTGTGTGTGAGTGTGTGTGAACGTTTCAAATTCAATCACACCCGATTTCTTAACTAACGTTATCGATACGTTTTATGTTCGCTTAGGACACTGCCAAGTTGTCGAAGGACATCAATTTGAACATTTGGTAAAATAATTAGTGTTTCTATTCCTTCACATATACCAGTGTTCCCATCTCGGTCTTTCCTTAGTTGGCCAGACACGCAAGCGGTCTTGCCTTGATTGGCCGGACTCGCATATACACGCACGCACGCACGCACGCACGCACGCACGCACGCACGCACGCACGCGCACACACACACACACACACACACAACAAAGAGGGTTTGGAGTCGTTAAATACTACGAGACTCACGGATCATGGGGTCCTTATCTTTGTTGACACACACACACACACACACACACACACACTCAGGAACACGTGTGCCGGCGTGAAGCCTTATCTTTCTTCTGTTGTCTCCATGGGCCCTCGCTATCGCAAAATCTTAATAGAAATGTTCAAATGATCATAACTCTGCGAAAAAAAATCGTAGAGATCTCGATGACCTCGCGTTGTTTTCGTCTCGGAAAGCCGTTTCGAACGGGTCCTCACTCAAGCCCACATGCCATTTAAGATTTTTTGGCTCCCTCCTGCCCCCGACCCCGGGGGTGTGAGGTGGGTGTTTTTGTGTTTAAATAATAGACATTGTGCTCCCATTGTATCCATATAAATTTGAATCCTACATTTCAAACTACTCAAAAATTATTTAGATGACCAGGAACCTTTGATAGGCACTGTATACACTATATATCTATGTATACAGGGTGCACGATTTATCTGAAGCCATTGAAATATCTCGAGAACTATGCATTGGATAAAAAAAAGTGGTTAATGAAAGTTGTTGGTCTCGAAGGGGGATATCCAATGATACCAAACTCGACCTCCCACCCCACCCCCTGGAGGTGGGGGTTGGGGGTAACTTTGAAATCTTAAATGAAAACCCCCATTTTTTATTGCAGATACGGATTCTATGCCACAAAATACGTAAATTTTGTCCGAAACTTTTTTTTTATTCGTGATAGATGGCGCTGTAATCGCAAAAAATTATATTTTCCGCAATTCTCCAGAAATGATCATTGGATTGAGAAATAAAAAATACCTGTTCAATATTTTTAAAGAACACAATAAAAGTTATTCCCTCCCCCATCCTCTCGGTGTAGGGTGGGTGGTAACGTTGGATCGGTAGAGGTGGCCCGATTAATTGGCCTGCTAGATCGCCTGATTTGACATCGCCGGATTTCTTTCTGTGGGGTTACCTAAAAGATAAGGTTTATCAACAAGTGCCAACAACTCGTGAAAACATGGTAGAACGCATAAGAAACGCTTGCGCTGAAACTCCCGCAGACATGCTTCTATCCTGTGTACAGTCATTTGAAAAAAGGATCAATAAGTGTATTGAAGTTGAAGGTAAAAATTTCGAACACTTACTCTATAATTAATTGAACAGTGAGAGGCAAGGGGACTCACATTAAATAAGCACCCGAAGGGAACATAAAACTACTACGTCCTCGTCGTTGTTCCTGTGTAATATTAAAAGTAGTTTCTCGGAAAAATTCAACGCTATCTATCACGAATGAAAAAAATTGTTTCAATAAAAATTTCACGTACAATCTAATTCTGTAATGAAAAATGTGAGTCCCAACTTGAGATTTGAACGTTATCACCCACCCTACCCCGAGAGGATGGGGGGGATAACTTTTATTATGTTCTTTAAAAATATTGAACAGGTATTTTTTATTTCTCAATCCAATGATCATTTCTGGAGAATTGCGGAAAATATAATTTTTTGCGGTTACAGCGCCATCTATCACAAATAAAAAAAAAAGTTTCGGACAAAATTTACGTATTTTGTGGCGTAGAATCCGTATCTGTAATAAAAAATGGAGGTTTCCATTTCAGATTTCAAAGTTGCCCCCAACCCCCACCCCCAGGGGGTGGGGTGGGAGGTCGAGTTTGGTATCATTGGATGTCCCCCTTCGAGACTAACAACTTTCATTAAACACTTTTTTTTATCCAATGCATAGTTCTCGAGATATTTCAATGTCTTCAGATAAATCGTGCACCTTGTATAACAGTTATATTGTTGAGTAGGAAATTACAACTAACATGCACGTTACATGTAATATTGTATTTGCTGGGTATTGTTATAATAGCGCCCTGACTTTTGTTAATTTGATGACTTTGAAATTCTCAAAAGTATCCCATAAATTAACAAAAGTTAGGGCATTATTGTAACAATATATTCTTGAGACCAAATAGAATAAAAAAGTCTAGTACTATTTTTTCTCCCGACAAACAGTTAGCGAGATATCATAAGTTAAATATTGAAAAAGTTACGGAGTTTTTCTTAAATATCTAAAAAAATATTAGGCAAATAGAAAAGTTTCAGGCAAAAGTTGTTAAAATTAATTCGTAGAAAAAAATGATATAATAAAAAATTAGAATTTCTATTTAAGAAAAGTAACGATCAGTGAATATCTCGAAAGTGGTCCCATATGTAAACAACATGATATAGTTGTTATATGTCCTCTTTGAAACCATACAAATTCTATCTGAAACATTTTTCCCTAAAATATCGCGTTTATAAAAAAAGTGGGTGATATGGGTGGTCTATGACGCTCTGTATATATGTTCCAATTATATCGTGATGACATACAAAGTAGCCCATGTAAAGCGGGATAACCCAGAAACTCTAAAAATATTTGTTGTATAAAAAATTGCTCATGACAAAGTTTTATGTATCCAAGAGGTCTTTCTAACTATATAAACAAAAATCCGCCCCCGCTTTCCTCTGAAAAGGAGTGGAGGGTAATTTCGTAATTTCAAATGAGACCTACAAAATGTTATATATTTAGATTCTACGGAAAGATACAAATAAACTTTATCTGAAACATTTCTTTAAAAAATACTTCTATCAAAAGTTATAAATATTGAAACTTTATGGTAAAATACTTTATGGTAAAATACTTTATGGTAAAATGGTAAAAATGGTTGAAATTAAAACAATCTTTTATTTAATTATAAATTAAATAAAAGATTTCATGCTTTTTCACATTTTTCACTTTATTAAATGTTCGAACTGTTGATCATTCTGGGGTCACGCTAGCGCAAGTTTCACGTATTTTTCATTTTAAATCTTCTTTTGTCATAGGTGATTGAAACATAATTTTTTCTTTGATATATCCCCATGATTGAAAATGGATGGCAACGCTAGTGCGTGCATATGCACTTTGTGTTAATGTTTTCCCTATTAGTATCAAGGTCTCTTTTTTGTTAGAAGTATAATATCCTTTATACACATTCATCGGAAAAGAAATACAAGTTTATGTACATTTAGTCATTTAGTCAGTTTTAAGTTAGTTTTCATGTTATCACTTTTGAAAAGCATGGCTCGATTTGACGCGGATGCTAATTCTGAAAGATTTAAGACGAAGAATATGTGAAACTTGCGCTAGCGAGACCACTGAAATGTTGTTTAGAGTTAAACAAAATTTTGTAAAAAGAATTAATAAGTGTTTAACAAGTTTAAATGTGAGTGATCAATAGTTTGAACATTTAATAAAGTGAAAAATGTGAAAAGCTGAAAGTCTTTTATTTAATTTATGGTTTTATTGCTTTAGTTTCAATGTACTTTACTGTAAAGTTTAAATGTTTATAACTTTTGATAGAAGCATTTTTTAAAGAAATGTTCCAGATAAAGTTCCAGATAAAGTTTACATGTTTCTTCCTGTGGAATCCAAATATGTAACATTTTATAGGTCTAACATTTATAGGTATAACATTTTAGAAGTCTCACTTGAAATTACGAAGTTACTCCCCATCCTCCTTCTCCTCCCTATCCAAAGTAGAGTAAGAGTAAACTTCTGTTCATATACGTAGTTAGAAAGATCTCTCGTATATGAAACTTTGTCAGGAACAATTTTTTGATACGACAAATGTTTTTAGAGTTTTTGGGTTTTCACATTTTATGTGGACTACCCTATATAATCAGAGACAAATAAGAGAAACAAAGAGAGAGAGGGGGGAGAGAAAGAGAGAGAGAGAGAGAGAGAGAGAGAGAGAGAGAGAGAGAGAGAGAGAGAGAGAGAGAGAGAAAGAGAGAGAGAGTGAATGAGTGAGTGAGTGAGTGAGTGAGTGAGTGAGTGAGAAGAGGGGGCAGAAAAAAAACAGGAGTTAGTGGAAGGCATGGAAAAGGCAGACGAAGGTGTGCGCATTCGTAGTAACGAAACAAATAGGCCAGCGACTTTCACCGCGCAACCAAGAGCGGCTATGTGGTAGTGGAAGCTTGGAACAGCTGCATAGTTAGACTTGTGTTCGAAGAGTCAGCAATACGCCTGAGTAAAAGTTCCTTCGTTCGTTTTCTCAAAGAAAAGAAAACGGTAATCGCATTCTGGAAAAGATACGAAGTGTATGCCGTGTGCGAGAGTGTAGTTCTCCCATATTTTTTCTCATTCGTTTGTCTGCATTTATATCTGCGCACGTGACCATAAATACGACTAAAAAATCATACGGTGAAATTCATTTCATATCTCATATAATATATATCACGAAGAATATTATAAATTATATTCTTCTTCGTTTCTCCGACACTGATTCAGACGGATGTTTCCTTGATATCGACAAGCAGTGCATTATTTAACTTCGACAACTTGTTAACAAGTCCGCGTTTGACAAATTCGAATATTTCTATAAACGATTGTTGAGGCAGTGCATTTTCGTGTCATCTACGACGAGTAAGACAAGCGAAATAGCAAGCGGAGACATCGTTATTAATAATGTGTCCTCGCGGATGCTGCTGACACACGCGCGCGCGCGTGATGTGTGTGTGTGTATGCGCGTGCGCGCGTGTTGTATGTGTGGTGATAGAGAAAGAGAGAGAGAGAGAGAGAGGTGAGGGGGACAAAGAGAGAGAAAGGGTGGGAGAGGGAGAGGGAGAGAGAGAGGAAGACCGAGAGTGAGGTAGAAGAGTAAGGGGAAGAGAGGAAGAGAGATCATCGTGTGAGGCTTGAGAAGCGAAAAGAAATAAGCGTGTACTGTGAGTGGCACGAGAAATGCACGGGCGTGGATCCGGCGAAACTGAGTGACGAGATGACACAGCGACGATGCCCGATCTGGGGCATCGCTCCGCAACGCTGCACGATTATTTGGATGGCATTTTGTTGGATCATGTTACCTTCTGAGATTGGTAGGTGCAATCGAATTCAAAGAAGTTCGAAATTTTGTTGAAACATAGGACGCCATATCCGACGATAGCTCGTGCATTTTAGAAAAATCTGCTTGATATAATGAAATGATATTTAATTTAAGTAAATAGTTATTTTATATATTTATATAAGAAAATAATTCTTATTTTATTTTAGACCATTGCTCTTTTTTATATGAAGTAAATATTATTCCGCAGTGAAAGATACATATTTCTAAATAAAAAAGAAAGGTTATGACAAAAATATTTACTTATATATTTACTTTATTTGAGTATAATTGTTTTTAATCGTAAAATAGTAAATGAAGAGTACAATAACAATAAAACTAAACTTAAACTTTTATTTATTTTTCATTAATTTTTCTCAGAACATTATCGAATATTTTGAATGGAAACGAAACTGCTTATCACTGATGACTACTTGTATTTAAGCGCTTCTATGCGATTAGTTATATTTCCGTTAAGAAATGAATTTTGTTGAAAAAATAAATACTATATAGCGGTGACCATTAAAACTTGACTCTTTTACAACTTACATATTTTTAAAAGTTTGTATAAATATATATTTTTGTCTAAAATTTAATATATTAACTATATTAATATTATCATTTTTTAAATTTTGAACAATTTTTAATGAACCTTCCCAGCAAACACAATATTACGTACAATATTATGTGTTATATAACACATGTGTTATATAACAGTTATATTGTTGAGTAGGAAATTACAACTAACATGCACGTTATATGTAATATTGTGTTTGCTGAGTTCATATTAAAATGTTCTAAATTGGGATTAAAACATTATCAGTAAAAATATATAAGTTTAAAGAAGATAATAATTAACTTCAGCACTAAAAGCTATATTTTTATGCAGAAATAGCATGTAAGCAAAGCCTCCCACTAAATAAAATCTAATTTAACTTACTCTATATCACTAATATTAACATATATTGTCTCAGTAGAATATATAAAAATATAAAGGATATATTTGTGATATTATTGTAAGAAATGAATTTAGTTTATTAGGTTAAGTTATATAGATTAGGTTAGGTAAATTTCTTCACATTTATACTACATACTTCTACATTACCTCTATATATGAAATTATGTTCAATGCTAGAGTGTACAGTCTGTAAAGTAAAAGCGTGTACAGGTTAATGTGTAGAAAAATTTATTTTTAATGATTTTTAAATACATGGATTTGTTGTACTCCATGAGAAGAAAAATGCTATACCATTAATAATGAGTCCAGTCACCACCGGCATTGATAATTGCCTGGCATCTCCGAGGCATACTTTCCACTAAGTTGACTGCGTATTCGTTCAGTAAAGACCTCCAAATGAGACGAATTTGTCGTGTCAGCTGCTTCAAAGTGCACACTCTTTTTCCTCGAAGCTTGTGTTTGAGATATGCCCACACATTTTCAACGGGATTTGCATCTGGCGACTGCGATGGCCAATCAAGTGTGACGATGCCAGACTGCTCTTTTCACTCGGTGCAAAGCTTGCTCCGGTGTTTTGGGTCGTTGTCTTCTTGTAAGATCCTGTCCTTGTTTTTTTTTATGAAGCAATGTTCAGTAGTCGGCAACAAACATTTCTCATAAATTTTAAGTATTAAGGTCGGGTTCCGCTTAAACAAATTCACAATTTTTTTCCATATTCGGCGTCACTTTGCCTATCGAGCCACGTTCTGGCAAGTCATCGACATTTTTTATCTTCTTATATTGCTGAACGCACTTAGCGACGAACGATTTTGACTTTCCCATGTATTTAGCAGCCATTGCATATGACATTTTTGGTCCTTTGGGGTGGGAACAAAGGAACACAGCCTCGTAGCGCGATGCGGCACTCATGGCGGTTAACGCGTTTCTCAGGTTAGAGTTAGACGCCAACTGAATCTTTTGTGACAAAGCATTCACGACAAAGATTTCATCTATCGGGTCACAAAAAAACTAGGACGATATTTGAAGCCAACTGCCATTTATGTCGTACACGCTTTTACTTTACAGACTGTACTTCATGTCTTTCACATTTTTCTTAAAACTTTTTCATAAACAATTCACGACGATTAAAACTTTTTAAATATTACTCAGAGTAATGATCTTGATAATATACAGGTTGTTCGGTAATTAGTTGCCAACCCGAAGAGTGAAGGTAGATTAGGTTAAGACAAACATAAAGGTCCCAACTGTTTTGCGAGATTCGCAATAATTATCGAGTTATTAATTACAGAAATCTGACGAATGAGCGCGCGCTGAGATAAATGATTGGAGAAGCGTCGTAGCCTCTCGGGTTAATAATTTTGAAATTTCCAAAAATCGATAAGTTAACAAAAGTTAGGGCATTATTATAGTAATATATTCTGAGATAAAACAACAAATAGCAGCGAGTTGTCTTTCTCCTCGCCGCACACCGGCGACAGTTTCTGAATCGACTGAGCCGCGCTGTGGCCTGAGCAGCTGCAACGCTTTCCCAATCATCTGTGTCGGCGCGCTTTCACTCCTCAGATTTATCATTAATAACTTGATAATTATTGAAAATTTCGCAAAACGGTATGGAACTTTTATGTTTGTCTTAACTCAATTTACTTTCACACTTACCGACTTCTGAAAATTTCAAAATCATCAAATTAACAAAACTCAGGGTACTATTGTAACAATATATTCTTGAGACTAAATAAAGCAAGAAAGTCTAATACCACTTTTTCTTCAGACAAATAGTTAACAAGATATCGTAAGTTAAATATTGAAAAAGTTACAGAGTTTTCCTTAAATATCTAAAAGAATATTAGTCAAATAGAAAAATATTTTAGACAAAAGTTGTTCAAATTGATTGGTAGAAAAAAACAGTGTAATAAAAATTGGATTTCCTATTTAAAAAACGCAAGTTGACCTTCAAATGACATTCAAGGTCGAAGTTAAGGTCAAATTTGAGGTCAAAAAAACAGAACTTTATGAATCCTAAAACTTTTGTTCGAGTCATTTTTTCCTGTAATGCATAGATTCTGAGATGGAGGGTCCGTTACTTTTGGAAACTTGGTATATATATACAGGATATCCCATTTTAACTTTCGCATTAAATTATTTATTAATTTTATTTATTTATTATATAAATAATTTATTAATTATTAATTATTTATTATTATTTATTATTTATTATTATAATTACTTATCGACCTTTGGAAATTTCAAAATTATTAAATTAATAAAAGTTAAGGCACTATTATAGTAATATATTCTTGATAGTAAATAAAATAAAAATGTCTAATACTATATTTTCTTTCGACGAATAGTTAGTGAGATATCGTAAGTTTAATGTTGAAAAAGTTACCAAGTTTTCCTTAAATATTTAAAAAAATATTAGGCAAATGAAAAATATTTCAGACAAAAGTTGTTAAAATTAATTGATAGAAAAAGAAAATATAATAAAAAATTGGGCTTTCTATTTAAAAAAATTAAGTTGACCTTCAACTTGAAACCTTCAACTTCAACCTTGAAAATGACCTCCAAATAAAAAACTGATAATGCCATTCTCTTTCCCCTTCGAAATCATGGAACACGTGTTTTAGCTTTTTTTAATATCTTTCATAGTTTTCAAGATTTTTTAATGCGTAAGTTAAATGCGAAAGTTAAAATGGGACACCCTGTATATATTAAGATTAAGATTCTGATATTTCAGACTCTTTCACGATATAGAAAAATATTTAATCGGTTGTCTACTTTGTGCGTGCGCGCGCACGTATGTGTATGTGCTGCGTTTAAGAATTGTTTGCGACGTTCCGTAAACATTTCAATTCACTTATTTAGGGGGAGGAGCTGTTTTTGATTGTTTCTTTCCTTCGAAGAGTATATTAGAATGTTCACAAAATGTTCAAAACAAATTCAAGTTAAATACGGCATAAACTCGGAAATCAAATAAAAAAGGTAAGTTTAATAAAAATTGCAACATTTATCAATATAAAAGTTTATATAAAGATTTTATTTATATTGTTGCGCTTCGTGTGCGTCTCTCTCAATTATTATTGAGACGTAGTCAAAGAGATCGTTCTTCAGTTCGAAGGATTGGTATCGATTTTCCAGAAAACAGCTGACCGGATTATAATAGCTGACTCGACCGAGATTTGAAACAGACGCTGTCATACACCGCGCAGACATAACAATATAAAGATTTATTCAATTTTTTTTAAATAAATATATATAACTTATTTATCATAATACAATTAAACATATTTCATAAATTTTTTCTTCAATAAAGATATACATTATTTTATTTTTATTATAAAAAATATATTTATTTATATTAATATTTTAATACTTTAATATTTGAAATAGCAAACTTTTCAATTTAACAAGTTTAAATAAATAATAAAGTTAAAAATAAGATTAATTAAATTAATTTAATAAATTTGGAAAAATAGATTTTAATATTAAAATGTATTTAATATAGATGGATTTAAAAACGAGGAATTAAAATTATAAATAAATATTTCTTATACTTTAGTAAATATTAATTGGAAAATAAACTATATATATGGTACACACATTTACGTATATGTTGCGTAGTATGTGCATACGTGTGTGTGCACGCGTACGTGTGTGTGCACATGTATGTGTGTGTGTGTGTTTGTGCGATATGAGAATTATTAAAAAAATTGCGTCGGCTACTACGAAAATCTGTCATAAATTTTTTTTAATTTTTCATTTCAATGGCATATTTCAAATTTTTCATTTCATGGCATATTTCAAAACTCTGCTTTATATTATATTATATATTGTAGTATGGTACGATGTTGATTATTTATAGTTTAACAGTGTGCTAATGTGAGCGTTATGAATCATGTTAAAGAAATAGAGAAAATTGAAAGTTACGTACAAGGATAGTTAGAAAATATACTTTTATTTAAGTGTTAACATCAACCGAAATCAAAGTTAGATTCGAGTAGAATGAAATTCGACACTTTCGGAGTCTACTTCATTTTCAA